CTGCCTGTGTCCGTGTGAATGTGCTCTACAACTCCTAGTTTAAAACTGTTTGCACTTTGTTAATAAAATGAATGTTGAAATCTTAATTTTAGGCGTTTTGTGTGTGGATAAATAAAACAGTGGAGGTTGTCAGGGTGAGCTCCACTTGCTGCAATGCCTGGCTGTGCATGGAGGGACCTTTTCCTGCCATCCACCTGTCACTTTTTCCTTAATTATTCAGTGAAAAGCACTTAAAGCCCTCTGGCATTCTGTTTGTAGAATGCTTAAATCTCCTTGATTCAAACAGGAATGGAGAAGGATGCAGAGTTCTCCCCAGAGTTGCTTTGTTACTCAGCTGCAGAGGGCTCCTGAGCCTGGAGGTGCCTCGTGAGTGTTTGGGGCTGTGGTGGTCACTGCACACAGCTCAGTCACTGCCATGGAGCTCTGTCTCTCGCAGCTGCTTCACTGCTGAGGCCCAGGGGCTGCTCTGGAGCTTGTGTCCAGCTCTTGGAGGGGCAAGGGAGGAGCTGTTGCTTTGCTCACCTTTTATTCAGAGATGGTTTGGAAAGAGCAAGAAGGGAAAGGGGTTTGGAAGAGATTGATCTCCTTGGGCTGTGCCATAACAGCCCCATCCCTTTTGGCAGCCAGGTGGAAGCCAGAGCTCAACAGAGTAACTCCAGTTCCATATCCCACAAAGGAAACCCCCTTTCACTACATTAAAGGCACAGCTAGTTGCTGCTTTTGTTAGCTCTTCAATAACCAGACTATCTGGAGCATGGTTTAAATTACTGTTTTATTAAGATATTGGTAAAACTTCAGCAGTTTTTCCTGTATAAACAGCTTTCATAAATAAAATATGGATGACTAATACATGGTTAGAACTAAACTCGCGGGTGAACTGTAGAACAAGATTGCAAATGGAAAAGTCCCAACACTGGTACATGATTTAGCTTGAATTTATTCACTTCATAAAGAACATGTTTCATGAACAAGGTACTACAGCAAGGTCAGCAGGAGCCCCCAGGAGCTGAGAGCACACCTGGCTGGCCACGAGCAGCAGCACTGGGGGTGAGCTCAGCCACCTCCCTGTTCTCGTCCCGAGGTGTCTTCAGAGGGAAGGAGAGGAAAAATCGGACAGGACAAGGGGGGTACGAGACCCTGACAGGTGGGGGTTGTTTGTCTTTAGCTTTAATGCTGGCGAGGGCTGTGCCATGGCTGGGCTGCCAGGGCTGCAGAGGGGCACGGACCTTGGAGTCCGAGGTTGTGTTAATGCTTCCTTATTATTGCACGTGATACGAGGGTAGAGAGTTTAGCTCCTGTTGCAAAGAGGATGTGAATTAAAGAAAGATTGCCCTAAATTACAGACATGAACAAAGCTGCAGTATCCCCTTGGATGGCTTTGTTTATGTGACTAAGTGCCGAGTGAAGAAATTGTGCTAAAACAGCCCCTAATTTAGACCAATCTTTCTCATTTTGCTTTATTCCCACAGAATCCTGGGGATGGGAGGATTTGGTGAGGAGAGAGTGGACCTGAACTACAGCAGCCACGTCTATGCACACAACTCCTTGTGCCTCACCTGCCCATGGGACAACTGGCACACAGTGCTCCAAAAACAGGCAGAGTTTGTAGGATGATGCACCACCAGAAACGTGGTGTAAGTTAAAGTCTGCTTGGCCATTGTCCTCCAGCGCCGCGGCGCCACCGCGCTCAACAACTCAGCTACAGAATGCTTCTCACTCCAAGGACAATGGATGGCACTTCTAGGTAAAGAAAAGTTCCACACGTGTGTATCCACCCACCTTAGTGCAAATGGGATGGGTGAAGAGCTCCCTGCTCTGGTGCTGTTCTGCTCTCTGCACCGCACACATTGCTCAGGCTCGGAGAAGCCGTGAGGAGCTTACGAGCGAGTTTTGAGCAGCTCCAGGCAAAGCAGCCCCGAGCCCCTTCCTCAAAACCACCACAACTGAAACAGAACAAAACTAAAGTCATGTTGTCACTGCTACCTCCTGGTTCTGCAACCACGGTCACCACGTCGACCGAGAGGGATGGGGGTTGTGTGAACGCGGAAAAGGGATACTTCAGCTCTTTATTGGAAAGATTCGTTGTACAAATTTTCACCACCACTAAGATACACGATAAAAATACAAAACACAGGTCACAGACTGAATCTCAGTATCAACAGTTAATAAATACAATGAGATACTTCTCTAATAGCCTAATATTTTACACTGTCACCAGATAGACGATCAAGGTACGAGATACAGAACACTTAGATACCGTTAGAGAGGGATTATTGCTTACGTCAGCAAGCAGCAGATAAGGGCACAGGAGTTTGAACTGAAGGAACTACTTCCTATCACCAGTGGCATTAAGAGAAAACACTGCATTTCACAAGCACTGCTTTTTGTCTAGTGTGTAGAATCAAGAGCAGCATAATCAGACCAATAACCACTACTTTTAATATTATAGAACTTTAAAGGACTTACCTTACAAATGGTTCCTATCTATTCTATAAATATGCAGTTAGTGAAGAAATGAACACTTGCTCTATCTATACAATGATTTTACCTGACCACACTGCAACTACGATGGTGGATTTTTTTTTTTTCTCCTAGCAAGATAAATGGGATGAGTCGCAGAATTACCATTTATGAATCCACACCTAAAAAAGCTAGATCCTTCCCAAAACAGCACACATGCAGTCCAGTGCTCTTCAACTGCTCCTGCAGACTGGGAAGAAGTTTTATCATCCGTGACGGGTTTGCATTCTAATTTACTCACATCAAGAATTGCACTTACACCACCTTTCTCTCCGGAACATGACAGTCAGCTAAAGATGGACTTTCAGTGAGTCATTATTACTGTGAATAATTTAAAACAAAGGCACCACAGAGATGCCCCAGAGTTGCATATTTTACCATTTCATGGTTTCTCAAATTTCCTCAGTAAATCTGACTTGGAACAGAAGCTGCAGCTAAAGAGAACGTTGACAACAGCTAAGGCAGAATAAGATGGCAGATAAGAGCCAATGATCCCGTAAGATTAAAACAAAGTCTGAAAAAGATCAAAGGAATCTAAAGCCACACTCCAACTCCTGGTTGCTCACAAAGCCTTTTGCTGTTCATCAGATTGCTTTTAAAATAGTGCATCAAAGAGAGAAGCAGCGGAAATTGGCAGAATTCAAGCCTCGCCATCTCGTCGTGTTGAATAATTTTCTTGACTACTTAATATTAAAATACTTTGCAAATTCTAGCTAAACACTAATACTGCTATTGTTACTGCTAAAATGATATGAACTGTTCACTAAGTGCCTATGAAGACTTACTTTATTCATACTCCTCCCAATGCATCGCTGTAACAAAGGGTAGGAACGGGATCTGGACTTAGTGGAGCTGATGGGAATCGGCCGCTTATTTACGTCCCAATTAGCGGCTCCCCTGAGGGTGTGACCTCACCTCGGCAGCGGGGAGGGCTCGGTGGCCGCTGCTTATGCAAAGGAGGGCAGCTGAGTTCCTGCCTGGCCCTCCTGGACCCGCGGGAGCCGGAGCAGAGCCCTGCTCTGAATTCCACTGAATCCCATCCTCTCTGCTGAAGCCCCAGCGCAGCCCCTGCTCTGCTGCACCCTCGGCATTTCCATCTCCTTTGCATTGCTCCAGCATCCATCCATCCATCCATCCATCCATCCATCCATCCATCCATCCATCCATCACCCATCCCTACACACCCTGAACCTGTGGCAGCCGTGCTGCTGCCTCCTTCCTGCTGCCACTGGATGTGAAACGCTGCCTTTGCCATCTGGGAATCGTCACCAGAGCCACACAGCTCATCCAACAGCTCCTGATCTCTGCTGGCACGGGCGCAGGGACAGAGGGTGGGACTGGACACCTCCACGGGTTGGGTTCTTTTAAAACCTGAGATGAAGTTAAGGTGGGAAGAGGTTGGCTCAAAGCATTAAGCACAATCATGTTCAACTCATTGAGAACAATTTCCTAAACTGAGAAATGAGAAAAATGCCACTAAAAGCACCAGAAAGTTATGAAATTTCCTACACTGCACCTCCAGCCATAGGAAAGAAGGGTTTTTTTAAACTGCAAGAAAAGTTTTCTTCATACTCCGCATTCGATATTACATGGAAAAAAAAAAAAAAAAAGGTAAATCATGAGTCTGTACCTCGATGGGAGTCTGAGACCAGAGCAGCAGGAGCTTAGTGTGTCCATTCCTAAGGTACCTGGTAAACCCTGTATGGCTTTTAGTCGTCTACCTGCAAAAGTGGATGTAATTTTCTAATTCGTCTTAACGCTCACCTGGAATAAACAGAAAGCAGAACACGGAAAGAAAAACAAAAACCCAAAACAACCCCACACCTCGACTCTACGGAAACTTCCCCCCGCTCTAAAAAAATTTGGCAGTTCTAACCCAGATCGTTCTTTGAGTATTGCTCCACAGACATTTCTCAGGCAGGTGCAACCTTCTGCGTGTTTAGGGACCGTGCCCTGGCGTTGTCTGTCCACGAGCAGCGGCTGCCGGGCTCTCCCTGCTGGATGTGCTGGACACTCGTGTGTGCGGGTGGTCGGGCGGCTGCGGCATTGCTGGGGGTGGCACCACCACCAAACTTTATTAGAGATCCAAACAACTACATTGGTTAATTCCTAGATCTATTTACACAGGGGTTGAGCTTGGCAGGGGACTGGAGTACAGTTCGGAAATGCCCACCTCTTTTTTTTTTTTTTCCTTTTTTTTTTTTCTTTTTTTTTTCTTTTTTTTTTCGCTTTCTGATGATGCCAGTTTTATTTTGGGAATGTCTACTTTGGGAGTCTGACAGGGGAACACGAGGGGATGGTTACATTTTACATTGATGAAGGTGTGGGTCTGGTATACAATGACTTTGTCTTCGCATCAAACACTCGCTGTAAGAGCCGTGGCTGGGCAGCCTCCGCCACGGGGAGGGTCGGGCCAGTGCCCTCCTGCTCCTGCGGGCCCGGGCAGGGAGGGCCAGGCCGGATCCTTCTCCCTGGGAAGGCTCGTGAGCCCAGAGCGGCGTGTGAAACTTTGGTTTGAGCCGGGCTCCTCGCCGCCTCTTCCCACTGCAGAGCCGGAAATGAGGGAACGCTGCTCGTTTTCCCAAGGATTTGAACAGTTCATCTTCCAGCCCGAACAAGACGGGGGACAAACCCCTGACCCTGTAGATGCCCTGCCCTGCAGCTCCCGAGCTCAGAGGGGCGGTGTCCTCGCTGCGATCGCTCCGTCCGTCCTCGCTGCGATCGCTCCGTGCGCAGCCCGAGGACTCGCTCTTCACCGCGGAGCTGCTGATCGAACCCGCGCTCTTTGGTATGCCAGGACTAAACACTTGGACTGGTGGCAGACATTTGGCACTCTGAGGTGTACTAGTTTCTGTTTTTGTCAGGTCTAAATAGCCTTGATCATCCAAGGGGTTAACGCCGGAGCCTATGCTTAAGCTAGTTCTGTCGGTGAAGGAGTCCACTCGTCCCTCATAGCCTAAATCCGCAGGTGCTGAGCACTGGTGCTGGGGCCAGGGCCGTTTGCAGTCTCCGTGGTTCTCCTTGTCTTCCCCATTGTCTTCTTGGCCACCTTGGAAAGAGTTCTCTGTCCAGTCCGACTCCTCGCTGACCGCGACCGCGGCGTTCATGTCCCTGAGAAACACCACAATGACCGTGATGTTGTCGCTGGAGCCGGCGTCCCGAGCAGATGCCACCAATTTATGTGCTACCATGCTGCTGTCACCATTATTCTCCTTCAGATGGTCAGCCACCACTTTGACTGCCTCATCGGGGTTCACTGTGTCATAGAAGCCATCACAGGCCAGAATGAGGTAGTCTTCAGAGCCATCCAGCACCGTGGAGGCAGAGTCTGCGTCCCCACAGATGTATGGCTTGTGCTCGGCGTCCCCTGTGGAAGAACAGCAGAGAAACACAACTGTGGGTTTGCAGCCACAGCTTCCAGCAGCCCTTTATTAACTCAGTGTGGAGCCAATGACTCTTACCCCAAGTTAAAGTAATTATTTGGAAATTATTCCCTCAGACTGTAGGGGGAAAAATAGAGGTTATTGCTCATAGGTCTATCTTCAGCTGTATGTCAAATTTTGATGACTAGAAAATTAAAATTTTGTAATTTAAAAGCAAAGCAAGTCTCAAAAAGGAATGAAGGTTCTCTCTTACCAATAGCTCTGGAGACAGAGAGGCTCCCGTTCACCCTCCAGGCTCCAAACCAGACCACGCAGCCACCCAGGGCCTCGATTCGCTTCTTCTCATCCTGAACAGCAACACAAGAGAGGTTTGGACAGAGCACTCAGAGCTGCATCACACACTCAACACTCCCATCAAGATCTAGATTTTCACAAACACAGCAGGCCCCATGAGACAAAGGATTTTTTACACAGTTCCAAACAAACCAGGGTGAGTGGAACATGCACTGCTGCTCAAAGAGATCCTGGCCTGGCAGCGCTCCCCCAAAGCTGGGGCCTGTGCTGGTCAGTGCCCAGGGGTGTTTAGACAGGCCCCTCTCACCTCTCGATCTGGTTTGTGGGGTTTCATCAGTTCCACAGCTTGGCCTCTCCTCACAAGCATGACCTGGGAGTCCCCCAGCCAGGCCACATGCAGCATATTCCCTCGGATGAAAGTCACCACCCCGGTGGTTCCACAGCGCAGACTCTGGAAAGGAGCACATTTCCATTTCAAAGCATTTCCTTACTGAACTCAGGGACAGAACACGTTGGAACTGCAGCACAGAGCCTGTTCCCAGGGAGGAACAGGCAGTGCTTTCCCCACGGCTACAACTGCTCACAAACAGCTCTGGGAGCCAACCTGGCTGAACACAAACGTGCCCCATGACATCCCTGGCATGGCACCTGCCTGCCAGGAGCTGGGCACTGCTGGGACTGCTCCTGCTGCTGACAGGCACACCTGTGTGACAGTGAACCTGAGGACTGAGCCTGGTAGGCAGGTGAGCGTGGGAATGGCAGCAGCATCCTTTAGAGGAGCTGGAAGCTGTGAGAAGTAGGAGCAGACATTTTTATGGGATGTGACACCATGAACAGAAAGCCACCAGTGGGGACCAGTGCACGGAGAGCTCTGTGCTGACTGTCCTGTGCATGGAGCCCTGCTCTGGAAGGCAGGATTTGCAGGTTAATGCTTTCAGAGTCCCTCACCTCCCGGGCTGCCTTCTGCACGAAGCGCTCGTCGGTCACGCGGAAGGCGCGGCACAGAGCCTCGGCTGGGTCGTGCTGGAACATCTCCTGGTGCACCATGTTCACGTGCAGGTGGATGGAGGCATAGATGGCAGCATCCACTCCTCCATGGCCATCAAACACTGCAAAATAAGCTTGTTCTTCTTGGTCCTGCCAGTGGAAACACAGGGAGGAAAAAACTCAGGCGAAAGCAACACAAGCAAGCTTTGAACGTGAGATTTGTGCTGTGCTCATTAAATTGCAATTAGAGACAGAGTCTCCACTGGAAAATCAAACTACCCTGACCACCTGCACTTGCATCAGTGGGAAATTTCACCTTGTTGTTGAATTCTACCTGCAGAGTACAAGAGATGCCCTGCCAGAATCTCCTGTGTAGTGTTCTCAGTGTTCCTTAGGTCTCATTTGTTACAGCACAGTCACACAACTCAAATAGGAATTGCCATTCTCATCAAATTGTGCAGGAGATTTTGTGACTGCAAAAACCACAGAGAGAGAAGAACATCCAATACAGTTTGCATGAAGTCTACCTCATGATTGGAATCCACCAGGGATAAAATGCCAGTACAGTTAAAACATGAAGCCAGCCAGCCTCTGCTTTCACTCTTCTTTTTTCCTTAAATCTAAAATATATCATCTTAGATGCCTGTGTTTTAAAAAAACTGCATGTGCTCTCTCATCAGAAAATTGTGATTACATTCACAAATCAAATACAGCAAAATCACTCATCCTCAAGGCAGTTTTCTCAGCTTCTCCTCCTCTGTTCAGAGAAACAACGTGGTACCAGGAGACAGCGACTCCTGTGCCTATTCACACACACAACACCAACCCACTGACAGAGCCAATTCAACCTTGACAGCCAGCTCAGTGACTGGAATATTTGCACATTGTAATTTTTAGGTAATGGGTTCCAACATAAATTGGAATAAGAAAGCTGACAATTGACATGCAAAGGAAACATCTGCCTCTGTTTGCATTAGTATCATTTCAAGGTAAGAATGTGGATGGGGCAGAAGATGGTTATTAAAGTGACAGGGTGTAATAAAGAAGCAATTATGCAGCAATTCGATTCTTAAGGTAAAATTCTTGCCATTTGCTTTTACTTTCCATTCTTCAGTGTCCAGTTTTATATCTTAAGGGAGAGCAAGAATGAGTATCTGACCAATGGCCACATCAAGAAATTCATGGAAGGGAAGGCAGGTTCACATTTCTAGAACTGTGTGTGAACTGCACCCCATAGTCCTGTACGTTTTGGGTTTGTTTTGGTTTTTTTTTTAAATTTAATTTAAATTTTTTTTTAAATTTAATTTCCTTAATTTTGTTTTTGCCTTCTTCCTCCCAAGAGGAAGAGTTGAAAAGCAGAGCAGACCCACCCCCAGCTGCCAAGTGGCTTCAGAGATGAACTGTGAGGTGAGCTGGTCAACACCAACTGCCAACCCTCCTCAGGCCCATCCCCTTGCATTCCTCAATGGAAAAAACCTCCTGCTTCTCCAGGATGGGAACCCCTGATGGCAGGAGCTGTGTGTCCCCCCTGCTCTGTGCTCACCTCGAGGTTGAAGAGCATGTTGAAGTCAGGGATGCAGACGTGCTTGTCCTCCATCTTCCTGCGCATGTTCTTGATGGCGTGGATGGAGGTCTCGTAGTAGCGGTGGGGCTTGGGCTGCAGGGGGAAATCTTTCACCCAGCTGCTGCAGATCTCGTGCAGTTTGCTGTAAACTAAACGGGCCAACTTCACTGTCTCGATCTCTGGGGAAGGCACAAACCACAAATGAAAGCCTTGAGAGTGTTATTAAGTCAGAGTTTTCTCCCTTGCATGCATTATAAAGATGAAACAAAACCATTTTAGCCAAGCAGTTGATGTCAGCAGGGAAATTCTGGGCTCTGATGCATGAAAAGAGGAAGCCAAACTCACCATAATCAGCATTCATCAGTAAGCAGCTCATTGTTTGTTTGTCTTTTTAACTTAAACATTTCCCTGTGCCTTTGGGGAACTCATTTGCAGCAGCAGAGAAAATGAAAGGCACGAAAAGTGTTGGATCCGTGGTGTGGCCCTGCCCAGGGTGGTGCAGCTCTGACAGGGACTTTGTCATGGCACAAAACCCACCCTCTGTGACAGTGACACACTGGGTTTGGACCAGAGTCTCTGTTCTAAACACCATTTCATTGCAGAGCTGAGGCAAGAGAGTGGAAACAATCTGCAGAAATTAGTAGAGTCATTTTAAGATGTTTTGTGCACTTTCAGCAGTGCACAGGTGCCTTCTTAGCTATTTTCAGATTTCCTATTATTCCCATATTCCTGACAACAGCGTGTCAGAGAAATCTGCGTGACCAAAAGAGAAAACCATAAAGGCCTCAAATTTAAGAAAATGCTGAACTGTCACTCCTCAGAAATTGTCATTTTAAAATGTGAAAACTCAGGCACTTGACATTTGTTCTGAAATTCAGGAGAAGAAAACAGGAAGTCAGCATCAGAGCTGAACACATCCAAATCTCTTTGTTCATGATCTCTCACCAAAGCCAGCGATCTTCAAAGCTAAACAGCAGCAATCCAGGAGTGCCAATCACTCCTGGAGGAGGAGGAGGAGCTCACATGCAGGGAGGAGAGGGGAGAGTTGCAGCATTTCTTGGTTCCCAGGAATTCTGTGAAGAGCCTTAGAGCAGCATGTACAAATTTCTGTCCTAGGTCTACAGTGAGCAGGGGGCCAAGACCCTTAGGAACAAGATACTGTCCCAGTTCTGTTGATTATGAGTTGGTTCAACCCAAATGTATCAAGCTGAAAATACACTGGATAAATAATCAAAAGGAACCTTGACTCCTTGATCACACAGCTTTAAAACCAAGGGTTGGAAATCAAACAACTGGGTCATCCCAGCACTGCCACAGGGTGAGTGTGGGGGTTCCTCACCCCACCTGTACTGCTCTCCCTGGGGCCACCAGAAATCTCTTTGGGTAACTGTGGTGGTTTGTAAAGGTTTCCTGAATTTTTTACCTTTTTTTGCCTTCCTCCTAATCCTATCTCACAACAGGAAAATTTCAAATTGATGAACCAAAACCACTACATTAATGTATTTAAAGAGGGAACACATCCAACCTGAGGTGCCCAAGTTCTGTTTTCCAGAGGAAAGCCACAGATTTTCTCTCCCATTTCTCCCTGTTGGGCAGGGGTGAAGGGAGTAGGGCACGTGGCAGAGTCCTGTGGCTGTGGCACCTCTGCAGGAGGATGGCCCTGAACCCAGTGCCCTGCTGAGATCCTCACCCCCCTTCCCATGGGACCCTGTGTGGTGTCAGCATCATCAGAAACTGCTCGTGAGGTTAAAACAGGAGAATAATAAAACACCACAATAAAAACCACCCCCTCACAGCTGGAAATTACTCATCAATTGTTAATGCTGCCGTGCTGAGCCAGAGCTGACTCAGCTGTCACTGCAGTTGTGTCATGGAGAATTTCATTTCCCTCCCGCTGCTCCCAAATCCCCAAGGTTGGAACTGCACCACAGAGAGTGGGAAATCCAACTCAGGTGTTGTTGTTCCCAAAGATGACAGGGCAGAATGAGGGTGGAAAGAATACCAGGAATCAAATCCTCCTTTTTAAAGCCATATTTTATAAGCTGTGTTAAAAACATGGACAGTGTGACAAGAGGGGTCAGAACCAAGCCCGAGGTTTTCCCTTATCTAGGAACTCTAGATCTCTTTGTACCCATCTTCTAGAACCTGGAGCAAGTGGGTAATGGGACATTAGGATTTGTTTTGTGACATCTCCTGGAAATTTCATAGCACCCCCAGGTCACATGGTCCTGCTATCCAGCTTTTGTGGTGCCTTAACCATGCCAAACTTCCACTTGATTCTCTTCCTCCACAAACAAACCCCAAACCTAAATGTCCTTAACCTGACCTTTCAAAAGAGAAATCCAACATCATTCAGTTCTCATGGAAAATCTCTTGCTCCTCTCCAGTGCAGCTGGAAGAGAAGAGTCATGGCCTGTGACTCAGATATCCAAAAACACATGGTCACCCCAAATATAACAGACCCCTATTTTTGCAATCCTACATCCAACCAGTTTTGCTTCTTTTAAGATTTGCATTCTTTTAACATGGAGTTTCTCATTTCTTTCCACCAGCACACCAAGAATTGCTTTCACCACTCCTAAGTACAGGACATGATTTGTCACGTTGCAATTCTCAGAGTGAAATGTGCCACTAAGGAAATTTGAAATAGCTTTTTTTTTAATCTTCCAGCAAATTCAAACTTGAGGCAAATCAGGTAAATGTCTCCTTGTATTACACAGAGTAAAAATCTTTCTGGGTTCATTAAAAAAACTCACATGGAACAGGATATTTCAGCCAGGCAGCAAAATTCAGCCTGGTTTCACATTCTGCAGCAGCTCCAACAGCATCAGGGCACGGTGAACTCTGAGCATCAAACTTCAAGATGTAGAAATCCCATTTTCACCACCTGCCACACTTTCCTCTGCTTTCTTCCAAAGCATTAACATCTCCCTGTGTAGCACCACTGAGGGCAGATCTCCTCTCAGCACCCACCCCAGGCTTCTCAGGGACTCCCCTGGAGGGGTCTCTAGGATGGAGCTGCTGCTGCCCCCAGTTTTGTTGGGGTTTTCTAGGCCAAGCCTTGCCCCTGTGGGAGCACTGCTGGAGCACAGGGTGCCCAGGGAAGCTGTGGCTGATCCCTGGAAGGGTCCAAGGCCAGGCTGGATGGACCTTGGAGCAGCCTGGGACAGTGGAAGGTGTCCCTGCCCATGGCAGAGGGTGGGACTCGATCTTTAATGTCCCAAACCATTCTGTGATTCTGTCATTGTGTGACACTTGAGCAAATGTTCTGTTTTGGAAAATTATCACTTAGATTATTTGAAATTGCAGGGTTTCTATGAAGCTGCTGCTGTACTACAGGCCAGAGGATGTTTTCTCTCTTCCTCTCCCCCTAAACCCTCACAATTTAACACTTCACACTGCATCAGCAAAGGGATATTTTATTTCCAAGTATCCTCATTATGACAATTCACCTCAACAAACTGCATCTGGAGCCCTATTCTTAGTGCCTGCTGCAGTCTCTCCCCATCTCAATCTATGTTTGCATCTGTGTCTTACAGCCTTAGATATATTTAAATGGCAATTTCTGTAGGTGTGAGGGTTTTGTGGTGGGTTTTTTCCTTTCTTTTTTCCTTTTTTGTTGAATTCTGTAGATATTCTGTGTGGAGGCTTAGTCAACATTTCCTTGGAGACTGTCAAATATTTATGCAAGTTTCAGAGATCTCAATTTGAAATTAATGAAGGCTGCTCAGCCAGAACAATGACAAATCTATTCCATTTACCTGCTCAGCAGGAGGAGGCAGCAATACCTACAGAAAGGGAACCCAGAGCATGTTTTTCTGTTTCTCAGGTTTCCAAGGGCCTCTGGGGAATACAGCAAAATCTTCCTTTTGAAGAGCCAGATTTATAGAGCCTCCTTATCCCCAGAATAATTTACAGGATTTTTTTTTTTTAATCAAAAAAGGGAAGGAATGGACGAAGTGGTTTGGGGACTGTATTTTCAAGATCAAATGGCAGAATTTCTGTCAGTACATGTGAAAAACATTGGTCTATTGTAATGAACAACCCAGCCAATTTTCAAGGTTATTTAAGCCAGCAGAGTCCTGAAATGAGTTAGGGTGCATGACCTTGAGCTGGAGGCTGCAAAAATCTTGTCAGGCAGCACAGATAAATGAGGAAAAGGAATTTTTTTCCTTTTAATCAGAAAATCTCTTTATACTACCTTTTGCTAAAACCATATAAAAAAACTTACAAGCCATAGTAAAAACCACATTGACTGAAATAATTCAGAATTAAATTATCTCTTCCCACATATATTTGACTTTGCTCCAAGGATGAGGGAGGACAACTGGCACTTGCCAGCAGAACCACATTGTGTAAAGTGCTGAGAGAGAGAGATTCAGGGCCATCAGACACAGCCATGAAAATGCACTTAAAAGAGTGATTCCAAAGGTGAGAAAGCTTTGACTGAGAAATGAGACCTGCAGCTCTGTGAGGAGGGGTGCTGAGCTCTCCATGAACCTTGCCATGGGCTGCTCCTGTCCCAGAAGGGCAGGCCAGGCTCCTTTGGTGGCACTTACGGATGATGCCATCGGCGTTGTCCACGTGCTTGGGCAGGAAATGTGCTGACAGGTCGCTCTGCAGGATTTCATCTGAAGTTGCTCTGGCTAGAGCAGAGGCCAGGAATGAAGGGCAATTACTGGAAAAGAAAAAGAGAAACCCACAGAAAGATGTTTAGTGTGATTCAGCAAGGTAACATGAGTGTGTTTTTCACCAAGGTTCTTCTTTGTCACAGCCCTGCAGTGCAGCAAGACCTCAGACTCACTGATGGGTTTTAGTTGTCCTCTTTCACTCCTGTGTTCCCTGTTTCTTAAGTTTTAATGTTCCAGTTCATAACCTCTGTTTAAATTCTTTTTAAATCTAGACTTGAACCCTCCAGAGTCTGTCACATGACTGTACATTTTTTACATATGTATGGTGCAATTTTAACTCAAGTCCAGTTTCTCTTAAGATTTGGAGTCAGGGTTTCAAAGTGTCCAAAGCCTTTCTGAGAGGCCCTGGGAGTTCAGGTTAACCCACGGGGAGCTGATGTGCAAAAGGTAAAAAAAGTTCCCTCAGGAATGATTTCTACCCAGAGTGAAGTGGCTTTAACTCACTGCAGTTTAATTAAAGCTGGTATCCCCCAAGGTTAATTAATCTATAGCAAGGTAAGGCCACTTTAATGTACATTCTCTCTTTCAAGAAGAATTTAATACCTCTTAATTTATGTATGACTTTGCATTTCCCTTTGGTCAGCCTCAACTTCTCCAGGTGTCTCCTGCTGACACAGCCTGAAACTTCCAATTTCCACAGCTATTATTGGGGTAACAGTGTCTTTCCCAAGACATTCCAGTGTCAGAGAGAGTCACAGAGCCAATTTCAGCCCCGAAATGATCCATTAAGCACAGAATTCCAAGTCAGAAATCTAGGGAACAGCCGTGAACACAAACACTTCCTTAACCTATTTCTTCTGTTCAACATATCTATAAATGATTAAAGGATAAGATTAGCAATAAATAGCTTTGTCTAGAATGGAAATCACACAGGGAGCCGCCTGCACCTCGTTAGGGCCCCATCCCTGCTAAGGTTTTCCCTGGAATTTCCAGCCGGGGGAAATTGCATTTCCCTGGAACTGCCAGCCCGGGGAAATTGCATTTGCCTGGAATTGCATTTCCCTGGAACTGCCAGCCAGGCATTACAGGGTGCTGGGCTGCTGGGGGAATCAGGAGCCTTAGGGCAGGCACAGCTCAGGGCTCTGATCCATTTGTTGCAGGACAGATCAGAACACACCGGGACATCCCTTCCTTCCGGCACGTGGAGGAGCTGATTTTGTGTCTCTTTTTTCCTGTCTTTATTTAGCTCACAAAGAGCAGGTTTTTCACGCTGTAGTGCTGGTTCTGCTCATGTTCCATGAGATTCCCCCAAAAAGGGAGAGATTGCAATGGCCGGGATAGAAGAATTATTCCAGCAGTTACCAGCAGGGCACCCGCAGGAATCTGAGCTTCTTTCCAGTCCAAGGCTTCCCCTGACCAGCTCAGTGCTGAACCTCTTTAGAAAAAACCAAACTTGTTTTGTGTCACTTACAAAGAACCCCTCAGGAACATCCACTGATGGGCAAAGAGGGAATCTGGTGTTAAGAACTGGAGCAACAACAGTGGCTAAAAACAAAAAAAAGTGTCTCAGGACCTAAAGAGCAAAGGAGAAATATCCCAGAGAGGAAGAATTTCTGCTGTGCCAGGGCCTGGGAGGGGAGACAGCAATGTCTGTGGATACCCAGAGCCACGAACACTAGTATCTGAAATTTTAGATTTTATTTTAACTGCCATGACACAAGTGAAAGGTGCATTTACAGGGGGTGTAGCAGTCAGAGTATTTTCCCCCCCAGCTCCAAGTGCTGTTCACGTGTCCTCACAGCCAGAGCCAGCAGTTCCACACAGCAGCTCTTTATCCAGCCAAAGGATGCATTTCCATTACAATGCTAAACCTACACAAAAAGCTGCTAAAGATGTTATTAGATAAATTAGAGGATTTTTAAGTACATCCTTCCTGATTCTCTGGCAGCGTAGGTGTGTTTAGAACACCCAGAGTTGCATTGCAGCAATCCTGGAATGACTCTGGGAAGGTATTAAATCCAGCCTAAAAGTGCTCTGCTTCCATCAATTAAGTTTGAGAAAACCAGTCTGAGGTGGGTTTAATTCAGCCCACATATTATTATGTTACCAGCTTAACACACAACTCCTCTCCATGCTGATAGCATTAAAGTGGGGAGGACTTTCTAAACACCTTCCCTGAGCTGTTCCTCTGTGCTCTAAATCTAATACAAACTCTCCTACTGAAAAAAAATAAAAGAGATGGCAAATTTAAAATTCTTATTGCATGGGAGTTCACCACTGGGGCTTGAGCAACTGATCAATTTGGAGGGGAAAGATAGAGAAAATAAATCAGCTGAAGGCTTTCCTTCTATGTCTGGCCACTCTTTGTCCTAATAATAACAGCTGCTGGCTGAGGAATTAATTGCCCTTGACATGTGTTGATCACAAAGCTTCTTACGTGGCTGGTGCAGGGCTGTGCCATGTGAGCAGGGAAGTGCCCACACACACACTGATATTTCCTCTTCCTGATTAGCACCACTCAACATTTACTTCCCTCACTTGGCTCCTCAGAGCACTTCTAGTTGAATTACTTTTTCCCTTCAAGGAACAGCAGATTGCACTGGAGGTTTAAAATAGCTGTTGAAGGCAAACTGCTCTGAGGACACTTCATTACTGCTACAGCAAGACAAATGAAGAGTCAGCTCTGGGATCTCTGTTTTCAGCCCAAAGTGAACACTCAGGTGAGCAGCTACAGCAGCCACAAACAGCAATCCAAGGAGTTCTCCCCTCTCTTCACAAAACTCAAAATGTATCATCAGGATCCCTGGGGACAGGGAGGAGCTGCCACCCTGCTGTTGGTGTAACCAGGGATTACCTGCTGGCTGCTGAAAAGAAATTCTTCTGCCACGTTCTAGATGCTGAAATGTTATTAGTCATGAAGTTTGACAAATTGAAACTGGGAGGGCACAGTCTTGTTTAGCAGAGAGCTGAGCTAAAATGCCTTTGTCTATTCATAGCTGTGCCACTAACTCAGCAGCTGACCTTGGACGAGTCACTTCACCACTCAGACCTTCATTCCTCATCTGCAAACAAGGAATGAGAATGTCATTTCCTCGGGGAGAGGAGGAGGAGGAGGAGGAAGGCTGTAGGCCTAAATCTGTGTTTGTGAAGTATTCTGGAATTTCTTGCTAAGAGCCTGACTGAAGGGAAAAATACCAAGATGAGAGTGGGAGATATTTTCGATCTATAGAAGATTTATATGTTCATACTTTTGAAAGCTTTCCTGGGTATTTATCACTCTTTTCTCATACACTGCCAGAAGTGCTAAGTGGAACACACAGGCAAACAACAGCTCTGGATAACTCAGTGTCATCAACAGCTGCAGGAAAGGGGAAAACCAGCAAAGAGAGACCTCAAGTTCTTAAAACTCATAGTTCTGGAGCATTAGCACCGCTGATGGGAAAAGGATGCTGCAGCCCCTGCCTAAAATCCACAACGAGGGCCACCAGTGCTGAAAATGCCCAGCCCTGTTGTGGTCTGGGGGAGCTGATGAGGCATCAGTAGCCCAAACAAAGCAGGGAAAATGGACCGAAACGAAGTGGGGCTTTCAAGAGGCAGAGCGGGCAGTAAATCACAAAATGTACAGTGTTCCTTTACCTCAGGAATCCCCTGACACCACAGAACAGCGATTGTTTTAGTTAGAATGAGGAACGATTTAAATAGAAATGCTATTCAGTCTGCTGAAACACAAAACAAATCCACAAGCAAACAGGATGAAGCAGCATATTTGGTTTCACCCAGCAATCCAAGACCAAGAACATGACCTGAAAAGAGCCAAGTACAGCACATTCCCTAAAGGCCTGTAATTTACTGTGGTAGTAAAAGACTTTGTAGGGATGACAAATTAACTGCAGCCTTTCCAAAAGACATTCCACCAGGGATGCACTTTGGGAAACGCTCCTGCTCATGTGGCCTGTTGCAAGCTCTTGTTAGAAAGCAACTTTTGCCAGATTCAGTTTAAAAAGCCCTCATTTGTCCCCTGCCTGTATTTACAAAACACTCCAAAGTCTCATGAGACTTCTTCCAGATGGAGCTTTGGATACAGCCTGGAAGCTCTTTGAAGAAGCCTTTAAAGTCTTTATTATTGAAAGTTCCCATGTTGTGAAGTGCAGCAGTAAATGAGCAGAGAAATTCTTTGGGAAGCTCCTTGGGCTGTTTCCCCGGCCCTGCCTTCCTCCACCCCCAGTTTCTGTGGCCATCCAGAGGGACTTGGAGCCAGCTGAGAGGCTCCTGTTTGTCTCCAAACTCCTCCAGGTCACCCAGGACTCAGAGGGGAATATTCTGTGAAGCGTTCCAAGGCCCTAAAATGCTTATGGATGTATCCTCTGGATCTGCCAGCCAGATGCTATTTCCAGCTCCTGGCTCTGCAGGTTCTCCTCTCCTCACTCCCAGAGCATCTCTCTGACCTGTGCTGTTCCACTGCTCTGCACAGCTGCTGGAAGTTTTGATGCTTATTTAAAGCCTGCTCACAGTGGACAAATGGAATATTATTTTTTTTTCCCCTAACACATGGTGAAACCCTGCACTAGATTTATCTGCTGCAGTGAGTTACTAAAAAAAAACCTGGTGCACACACACACACACACACACACACAAAAACCAAACAGAAAAAACAATGCACCTTTTAAAAGCTTGCATAACCAAAGCTCCTTGAGAAGTCATTTGAGCTGGCAGTGGTGAGACAGTAAAGATGCTTGATAAATCTGTTTGAAGGAGCTGCAAACGTGCTACCCAAGGAAGCTGCTATCTATAGGCTCCCTCCCAGAGACAGCTGCCTGCTCACATCCCCAGCCATCCTGTCCTTGTGCTGACAGTTGTAAGCAACAGAAATATCATACACAAGCATTGCAAAAAGACACTGCTTCAGATACTTTTATCATGCCTGTGTCTCTGCAGACATTGCATTTACTAAATATTTAACCTTCTGCTTTCTGCTCACTGATGTTTTCTAGACCAATTTTATAGAGATGTGTTCCTGTAGTTAAGTCTGTCTTAACTGGATGTGAAAAAATAACCAAA